GAACATCCAAGCTGCCTTGGGCTTCTCTGGGCATCACGAACAAAGTCCTGGAGTCCTCAAAGTGCCTTGATTTTCTGGATATCTATGGTAAAATGGGAGAGACAAAAACATTCTTCCCCCTTAAATCTTTTTTTGAGAAAAGTATCAAAATAGCATTTATTTATTCATTGATTGGACAAATATTGAGGGCAGTTCTATGGCCCGCATAATTATAGGTATGCCACACACACACACACACACACACACACACACACACACAAGACAGGCTGCCTGCTTTCATAAAGTTTATATTCTAGTGGGTGGAACAAAACTAAACAACATATGTAATGTCAGCTACTGATATGTAAATAAAAATAAAGCAGATAAGTGGTTGAAAATGTTGGAGGATGTAGATAGGCATGCTATTTTATATTTTAGGCTGGGTGATCAGAGAAGATCGCTGACATTTGATAAGTAAAAGAGTGAGCAATGGGTCTAGCAGGGGAAAAAGGAAATGTAAGTACTCCAGTGTTTTATATATATATATTTTCTTTTTAATTTTTTTTTTGGTACCTAGGATTGAATTTGGGACCTTGTACTTGGGAGGCAGGTGCTGGAACCACTGAGCTAAATCTCTGGCCCTGTTTTTTTGTTTTTTGTTTTGGTACTAGGGGTCGAACTCAGAACCTTGCACTTGTGAGGCAGGCAGCACCACCACTGAGCTAAATCCCTGGCCCTCCAGTGTTTTATATTTTTAAGGGGCCAGTTTTTTCACTTTTTTCCTGAAATCTACCCTTTGCCTTTTGGTTGAATTCCAAAGCCCCAATTAAGATTTCTTTCCTTTGTAATAGACAGTTTTTTGCTCCCCTTATCTCTGCTTATCAAAAGAGAGAGAAAAGTAACAGGTGGAAGAGGAGAAGGAAGAAGAGAAGGAAGAGGATGGTAGTAACAACAATGGATATTCCTTGTTCCTTTCTTCTTTATCACTTGGCTCTAAGTTAAAGAGAGGGCTAAGACATGAGTAGGATAGGTCCAGTCTGAGCAGCTCCTTGAACTTGTGGACAAGTCAGACATAGGGCAATAGGGATCTGCTTTATTTTGGGTTGTCTGACTCAAAGTTTTCATGTGCATATTTGGGTGTAGTCCTGTGAGTGAAAAGGAGTGAAAGCTAGGATTTTAAACCATGAGTCTCAGATATAGGGCCCTCTGCTCAAAGTGTATAGTAGATCCCATCCTCCTTGTGGGTCTCTACTCATCCTCTGGGCCTCTGCCTTGACTGATAGCTCTTACAGATAATGGTTGTTTTTCCTTTTGAGCACAACATCAATCCTTAATTTATGCTTAACATTTTTAGTTAGGACCCTTTGCCATTATCTTAGGCAGTATACATGATAAACTCTATCATCTATCTATCTATCTATCTATCTATCTATCTATCTATCTATCTAATTTGAAGAGCACTTTTGAGCCACAGCTGGAATCGTTACAGTGTGTTATAAGTGATAAACATGGGAAATATTACAAATTGATCACATGGGAAATATTACAAAGAATCAACAACTGGGATCTCATCTTATTAAAAGCTTTTGGACAGCAAAAGAAATCATCAACAGAGTAAAGAGACAACTCACAGAGTGAGCAAAAATTTTTGCCAGCTGTTCCTCAAAGGACTAATATCTAGAATATATAAAGAACTAAAAAAAAATCAGACCTCACAATTTAAAGACCCAGTCCAAAAATGGACATCTGAAATGAATAGTCATTTTTCAGATGAAGAAGTACAAATGGCAAATAAATATATGAAAAAATGTTCAACACCATTGGTCCTTTGAAAGATGCCAATTAAGACAATGCTGAGATTTCATCTCACTCCAGAAAAAAATGGCTATTATCAAGAAATCAACCAATAACAAATGCTGGAGGGACTGTGGGAAGGAGTGTAGACTGGTGCAACCACTGTGGTAATCAGTGTGGAGATTTCTCAAAAAATAAAAATTAGAGGTTTCATTTGACCCAGCTATTTCCCTTATCACAGCTATATATGCATATCCAAGTATATAGCGGCCAGTTGGTAATAACTAAATCTTGGAAACAGCTCAAATGCCCACCAATCGATGGATAAAAATGTGCTTTTTTTTATACAATGGAGTACTACCCACCCACAAAGAAGAATAAACTTGAGACATTTCTAGCTAAATGAAGTGAAATAAATTGGACACACGTGTGTAAGTATTCCATTGTTTCTCTGGTGTGAGAAACTGAAAGTGTAAATAAGGACCAAAATGTATAATAGATACTGTGAAATAGGAAGAAAATGTTCAAATGGGAGGGGAACAGAGGAGGGGGGAGGGGGAAAGGAAGGAAGGGAAAAGAAAAAAAGAGAGAAAAGGAAAAAAATGGAAACAAAGCTTCTGTAAATAAGGAGGGGAAAAGGAGTTAAAGGGAGGGAAGGGGAATAGGAAAAAAAGATCAAGATATATCATGTACAAGTACAAATTCTTTATGATGAATGTGATTACTATGTTTATCTAAAATGTATCAATGAAGTTAATTAATTAATAAAAGTATACGTGTTGGGACAGCAGTTGCTGATGTCTCCAAAACTCTACAATCTTTCCCTATAAGATCTCTAAGGTGGCTGAGATAGAAAACGGAGCCCAGAAGAAGAGAATACACAGAACTCAGAATCACTATTCTCCTCAGGTGACTGAAGCTCTCTGTTTCCACACTGAGGGCATCTTGCCCAGAGAAACAGAATTTCTCAATCTTAATTTGGACAAAAGCTGAGCTCCCCTCAGGGGTAAGAACAGGGAAGCACAAAGGAGAACACAGGCAATAGGAAGTGTCTGAATGACAAAGCATGGGTGGCCATGGTGCTCTGTGCTCTCTGGGAATGAAAACCATCAGCTCGTGTTCTGTCTCCCTTGGCAGCTTCATCTAATATCTGCTGCTATTGTGACCAGAAGGAAATACCAATGGGGGCCTTGCTTGGCCATAGAGATACTGCTTCCAGGAGGCAGCATTCCTGCTCCCTAGCCTAGCACTGTGCCTGGAATCTAGAAAGCACTCAATAAACCTCTGATCCAGAGGTATTATGTTCCTGAGCAGAAACCAGAATTCTGGTAACTGGGAATGCACACCACTCACAGTAAGTTTGAAACTGGCACAGAGCTTATGTAGTTGCCTTCTTTAATGTGTCACAGCTCTCTAGTGAAAGATCACCTGGAGCACAAAGATGGACTTATTATTCATTCTAACAGGGAGAGCACACATCATGGAGTATTATGAAGTATTTGCATAAGAGAATGCTATTAGGAGTTATAGGATTTATGCTTGTTTTAGGTGATTTCGGGGGAATGTTTAAAGAAGCAGAGCTTTGCTCTGAACTGGATGCTATGACTGAGCCTCTTAATGAATCTTATCTAGTAGGGAAGAATACAGTGAAGCTAGATAATAATTGATAAAAGAGGCAGCAGACACACAAATGACATGTAAGAGAAGAATGTTTGATATATTTGTGATTTGCACAGTAACACTGCTTTTGTCTGTGTTTAGGCAAGATTATGAAGTGATCTTGCTTCATCACTGTCACAGAATAACCCTGTGTGAGGTTAATGTTTGCTGAGGTTTGAATATGATTTGTCCTCTCTGAGATTCATGTTGCAGATTAATCTTCATTGTGAGGTATGAAGAGGGTAGAAACAATCCAACTGTGGTGTTTAGAGGCAGGCCTTTGAGAGGTGATTAGGATTAGATAAGGTCATCAGCCCCATGCTGAATGCTTGTGGCTTCATAAGAAGAGAGAGGCCAGGGATGTAGCTCATTGGCACAGTGCCTGCCTGGCAAGCTTGAGCCCCTGAATTCGATTCCCTGTACCAAAAAAAAAAAAAAAAAAAAAAGAGGGAGAGAGACAGGAAGACACATTTGTGTGCACCTGTTTCTAGCCATGTGATCCCCTGACCTGTGTCAGGACTCTACCAGCAAGAACACCATCATCAGATGTGGTCCCTTGGCCTTGGACCTCCAGAAATGAAAGCCAAAATAAAACTATTTTCTTTAACATGCCCAGGCTTGTGATATTGTTATTAGGAACAGAAAACAGACCAAGAAAGCATACTACGAGGTTTATGCTCAACGAGAGATGTACTATAGCATAGCTGAGAATGCCAGGTCAGCTCCTAACAACTTTTGAGTTATTATCACAGCAGTCCTCAGATGCCATAGGTTTCTCACCCTTCCTTTTCATTTTTTAGTCAAGTGCAAGTCAAGCCATAAGACATTAGTCTATGGTTTTCAGCTTTTCACGATTGCTGAGTTTATGCTGATCTGGTAGTAATACTTGTTTTACTGAAATGTGAGCATTTAATGAGTTATTGTACAATAACCAACGAGTAATATCTACCACTAAGACTTCCATATTAGTTAATTCCTTTAGTTTCTTTAATTAGCACTATCAACCTGAGACATATTTCCCTCATTTTATAGACAGTAAGTCACATGTAAGTGGTGACACCGAAGTTCAAATGATCTGTGATGCCACAGCCCAATTCTTAACCTCATTTTCCCTCTCCTCAACTTTCTGAATTTTCCATGATAAAGTTTTCATACCCCTCTATACTGTACTGCCTGTCGCATAGGCACTAAATTGTAAAACCCTTTAAAAATCTATCATTTGCCAGGGTGACTATCGTGGGTTTATCCTAGGGTTTGATCTCTCCTCGGTACAGGAGCAAAAATAGGGATTAACATTTCCCCGTGCGGGAGCCCTTTGTGTCCCAAGAGGAGCCCAGTCCGGGTTTATTGTGAGCTAACAGTACTGTGAGCAAGGTCCCAGCCAGTGACGAGAGCAAGGTGGCCGTGTCGCCTCTAGCGATCCTCCCAGCTGGGGCCTTCCCGCCAGCCCCGGCCTTCCCGCCAGCCCCGGCCTTCCCGCCAGCCCGGCGGGGCGTCCTTAGCAACGGGCAAGCGCTCTCCCAGCCCCGCCCCGCGGGAGGTGGCGGTGGCATCTGCGCCTGCGCGCGGCCGCAACCGCCAGTCACCTTGCTTTCCCTCCCCTCTTTGCCCCCTCCCCTTTCCCCCTCCTTCTCGGCCGTCCGGAGCCGGACGCCAACATGGAGCCTGAGGACCTCCCGGGGCCGGGCGAGCTGGAGGAGGAGGAGAAGGATGTGGAGGAGGAGAAAGAAGAAGAGGAGAAGACTGTGGAGGCGGCGGCGGTGGAGGAGGAGCCAGCAACCTCGGTTGAGATCGTGACAGAGGAGGTGGAGGAAGAGGCGGGGCCGGAGTTAGACTCTGACTCTAACTACGAGTTCCAATCCCGGGAGAGTTCGGACGAGGAGGACCGGGAGGACGAGGAGGCCAAGGCTTGGCTGCAGGCGCACCCCGAAGTTATCTTGCTTCCGCCCCCGCCCCCGAGGTACAGCTACGTGCGGAGCGCGCGGACCTGCGCGGAGAAGGTGAGCGGGGCGGGAGAGGTGAAGGCCGCGCGGGCCGGGACTGCAGGAGCAGCGCGCCTCGGAGGTCGCCTTGGCCCAGGCTCCGCAGGCGGCTGGCGGACTGCCCCCCACCCCTGCTTCTTTCTGGCGAAGACATCTGCTGTTTCCTCCCCAGGCTGGGTCCCGGGCCTTTTGAACTACAACAGATGTTCAGGAAAGCCCGTATTCCCGAGTGTGTAGTTAAGAAAGGCTTTTTTGGAGGAGAGGGTAGGGTTGGAGAGCGTGGTTGCCCAGGGGATGCCTTGTTGAAGAGATAATTAGCAATTAGTTTAACTGAAGTGGAGGACTCCCCTTGAGGAAATACTGTGGATTACGTACACTCCAGTAGTTTTGAGAGGCTCCCGACCAGTTGTGTTTCTCTGGACAATCCTTTGTGTCAGTAAGGGAGTCCCCAGGCCTTGGGAGGGACTTAGAATGCAAGAGGTTTGTGATGCACCTCCAGTCTGGAAAAACTAGAAAACACAAAATAAATATAGCAAGAGCCTATATTATGGTTGGCCTGTGAAGGACATTTTGAAAATAACAGTGTGTTTGATTGCTTTCAAGAAGCAAGACCTTTGATGGTCAATACAGGAGGCACTATGTGTGGCGCTTTACCTTCAGTTAAGAATATGTATCATAGAGGGTGAGGAGTGTTACTCAAAAACCTGGGTTCCATTCCCCACCCTGTAAAATAGGTCAAAAGGGAAAAGGAAAAAGGAAAGGGGAAAGGAAAAATGAAGGGAAACTAAAGGAGAAAGGCAAGGAAAGGAGCACGGAAAGGAAAGGAAGAAAATTCGGTGTTGTACAACAATACTCTTGTATTGTTTTAAACACTTTTCAGGTACCCAGTAGCCATGCTTGGCTAGTGGCTATCATATTGGATGAGCAGATGAACACTTCGGTCATAGACTGGTAATGACTAAAGAGTAGTAGTTGTTTTGCTTGGTAAATATTCCAGATGATACTTAATTCAGTGAACATTTATTATTAAGTGATGACTGTATGCCACACATTGTCCCAGGTGCTAAGGAAACCTTGGTGAACTCAAACATTTTTGGTCTCTGCCTTCCTAGTGTTCACAGGCTATAGAGAAGGCAGATAAAATTCAGATGGTCTTATAAATAAAAGTAGAAATTCTAAGTGCTAAAATGCTAAGAAAGCATAATGTAAGTTAATTTGGTCTTGTGAGTGAAGGAAGGTAGCGGCCTAGAAAACTCCAGGGCTGATATCTGAAGACAGATTGAGATTAACTAGGCAAAAAGGGTGGGAAAAGAGCCTTCTAGTTGAGGGAAGAACATGAAAAATACTGTTGATAGAGAGTGGTTTGTTTTCTTTCCTTTTTTTTTTTTTTTGTATTAAATTCTTTTATTGCTACATTGTAGGTATACAACACAATTACATTTCTCATTGGGAATTGTACCTTTA